TGTATTTCCAATAAAAATATTATTAAATGTAAAAATAATGGGGGATGTGATGTTTCTAAAGGTGAACAAATAAATAATAAAAAATAAATTTTTATTTAAAATTTGAAGGTTCTTTAAAATGTAAAAGTTGCCGTTTTGATAAATGCATTTTGTCAGGCATGAATTTAATGACATTACGGGGAAACAATTCGGAAGCTTTTTTGGAAACACACACATTTATTAAAAATAGACTTGAAGAGCTTAAACTTGAGGGAAAATTTGTTGAAGGAAATTTTGAAATAAATGTAAAAGGAATATCGAATTCTGTTACCACAGGGTACAAGAAGGCAAACAGATTTACTCAAATTTATTGAAATTTAATTTCAATCACAAGATTATTTTACTACCCATGTATTTAATTTAGTGGTCATCACTAAAAATTTTAACTTTTTATAAATTCGTTTTGTCTTTATTAATTTGTTTCATTATTATATTCTTATAACAATCTGTAACTCAAATTTTTTAAAATATTTTTTCAATTATAAAAAGAATTCGCCAGCTCGCATTCTACCTTCCGCAAATGCAATCTGCAAAGGCATTCTGTAAACGGCATTTTTGCTGCATTCTCCTCCTTTTGTTCTTTCACTTCATTTTTTTTGAGTTACCAAATATTATCATTCCAATATTTTTATATTAGAATAAAGATAAAAAGACTATAAAATTTTTCACTCTTGAATGTATATTAAAATACACATGCTTAAACAAAAACATCTTTTTCATTGATAGGAAATTTTTACTTTTCTCGATATCATTTCCCTTCACATATCTTTTTTGAAAACAAATTTTTTAAATACAGCAAAAGTTATGGGGAAAATATTATTTGTATATTATAAGTGAAGAGTGAAGAAAATGGGATCTTGAGTGATGAAACTGTGAATTTCTCAAAAAGATGTTTAATTTAGTTGCTTTAAATAATTTTGTAATATTTTAAATATTTTTTGTTTCAAACAATTTTTTTAAATTTATCAAAAAATAAAATGCCTCCCTCCCATTTTAATACCCCTTCATGCCCATACGAAGGATTTATTAAAATAGAATATCTGGGTATTAATTTAAGACGGAGTAGGATATGAAGATTGATAAAAGGTTGAAATAAAAATACTTAATAGCAACATTTATTTTTTACAAAATTTACAATTTAATTAATTTAGTACATCTTCAATATTTTATTAATAAAATTTCCATTCTTTACCAATTCCATAATTATTCCTCACCTAAATATAAAAAATAATTTTTTTATAAAATTACAAAAAACCTCCATGATGGCAACACCCAATATTTTCACAAATTGATTTAATAATTTTACAAACAACAGTATCACCGCTGTCGTAACCACAAGTATAATGACAATACTTTTCACAATCCAATTTTAAAATAGAACAATGTTTGGCATTGGTAGAGACAACAACAATAGCCATAATTAGGGCAATAATAATTAAATGATTTTTCATTTTTAATTGAATCTAAAAATAATTGAATGATTCTAATAAATTGACTTAAAAACGAAAATATATACCGTATTGCCTCTAATAGAAGACCGTCTCCAATAGAAGCCCATGCCCTAATAGAAGCCCACCCAATGAGTGGTATTGAAAAATAGAGACCCAGAGTTTTCTATTAGAGACAATACGGTATATGAAATGAGATTATCGTTAAATATGAAAATTCAACATTTATTTTATAGTTCGTTCAATAAATGTCAAAATTTAAATTTAAGATACCTAATTGACAATTATTTTACTAAGAGAGTGATAAAAGTTTAGCCCTGGCAGCTCTTGTGCCTTCTAGACAGCTAGTGCTATGAGGTGAGCTACCGACTGAGTTATTGATGAAATGATTTCACCATCTCCTTTAATAGAGCTTAAATTCTAGCCAGCTTCATCTTCCTTCTTCCTTACATTCGTTAAAATTATATTCGTCAGTTTTTATTTCTTGTTCCTTACATTTATAAACAAATAAACAATTTGGATTAAAAAAACTTTCTTCACAACTATTTCAAAGAATTATTTACAAATAAGCCATTTCGGCCCCAAACAATCAAAGAATAATTTTGTTTTATTATTGAGAGTTAAACATTTTCAGTTTTTATTTTAAAAATAAAAATGAGGAAATAATAAGGAATTGCTTGCTATGCGGAAATAAATATTAACAATCTTACTAATATGTATATTTAAATAAATTTTATTAACAATAAATTCTCTCAATCTTCTTTATTATTGTTGCGTGATAAAAACGAAGATTGTTAAGATTGAAATATTATTTTTAACTACGTGTAAATCTGACAAATAAACAAAGCATTTAATGTTTATTGTTATTTATTTTTTAATTTTTATTTTAAACAATTTTTGCCTCATTATGAAATAAATATGGAATTATTATATTTGTCATAAACAAAAATTTTAAATAGGAAGGTATCACAAAACTTATACGTCATTTAAGATGTGTCATTTAAGATTGTTTATATAAGTTAAGAATTCTGAATATTTGTATAATTCTAAATTAAATAATTAAAATAAAATAATACTCGAATTACTACTTTTGTTAAAATAATTATGTAAATTATTTTTAGGAAGGATTTTCTATGAAATAATACGTTCATATTGTAAGGAAGAGAAAAATCCAGCTTGCTAGCATTTAAAACGCTCACTAGGCGCGGGTTTAATATCTATTAAAAGAGAAGGTGAAAGCAGCGTCACGGTAGCTCATTAGCACCTGTACGAAGTGAGCGAGAGATCCTAGCAATAACTGCCAGGAGGTTGCAAGCCTGCCCGGGATTAAACTTTTACCTTGCTCTTGCTATATCGAAATTAGTAACATGTAAATTCTGGAAGAATATTGGGATTAGTATTTTGCCAGAGGTTCAGGTTGGCCTAGTCCATAGAAGATTTTGATTTTTTTTAAAGACATCTCGTGCTGTTTTGAAAGACACCTCGTGTTACAGTGACAGTAAATCTCGTGAGAATTTGAAGAATATAATAAAATATGAAAACTATTAAAAGTACTCTAAAGCTCGGTTCGCATGTCTCGTATAATCTCGTATAAGAAATATCTTGTAATTAATTTTAGATAAAAATTCTGTATTAAAAAAAAAATTTTTTAATTCTATATTATTTTAAAATTTTAAACAATATTATTGTGTGAATCACATGGTTAATAAATAGGTATATTAATTCTCATTACTATCATAAACATGACAAACAATTAAAAGGTTTTAACAAAGAAATAAATATTATCAAACATTTTATGATTTCAAGCTTTTCAGCTAATTTTATGGTCTACAGCCTAATATAATTATTATTAAAATATCGTTATTAAAAATTGTCTATATTTAAAATTTGTCATTAAATGCCCTCCTCTTTACTAAACATTTTAATCCTTCTAAATTTATTATTTCTTCCAAATTATTTCGCACAATTTAGCTCTTCATTTCGTGAATTTCTAAAAGATTATGGTGGTAACGATCTTGAGAAACTACTTACAAGAGAGGATCTTGGAGTAAAAGGAAGTTATGGAGGTGGAAATCATAAGGCTGGGGAGAAAACTAAGTATTAAGGAAATATTAGTATGATGAGTTAATTAAATTTAAATATTTTTAGAAGACGACCAGTAATTTTTGTACACGGTATGGCAGAAAGTGCAGGCTCAACAAAACCGTTTGAAAAATATTTCAAGGTTCTTATGACATTAAACTTCATAAGGCCGTTTGAATTAAGGATAATGGTTATGACGGTGAAGAGATTTTTGCTACTACATATGGGGATGCAGGAAAAACTAATCTTATTTTTGTTGAGATGGAATGTCAATTCGTTAAAATGGTTGGATTTAAAAGGCTTTTGTAACTATAAATAATTAATCAACAGATCCGTTTTATGATTTTAACTGTATCTAATTATACTTCTAATAAGGTTAATATTGATGGATTCTCTTTGGGAGTTGTTATTTCAAGAAAAGTGAGTGAGGATCACCTTATGTAGAAGATAAAATAAAATCTCCATTATAGGCAATATTGGGAGGAAAATGTGTTGATACAGGCGAAGATCTTGGCCCACCAGTAACTCATTTAGTACACACATTTGTTGGAGTTGCAGGACCGAATTGGGGATCATTTCTGTGCATTTTACCCATCGGAGCCTGTAATTTATTGAATGGAATTAATTGCTCGTCGACATTCTTGAAGGACATTAATTCAAAGTGAGAGAAAATTCTAAACTTAATTTTATTAAAATTAAAGAAAAAGATATAAGGGAAGCTTTATCTTTACAATATTTTCAACTGGCGATGATATTGTTGGGTATGAAGTTTGTGGAAAAGTATCAAGTAGTATTGAAGGTGCAGATGATAATTTTGAGGTAAAATAAAAAATAATAATGAAAAAATAAATTTATGTAGTTTCAAAATATGACTCATTCTGAAGTAATTTTAAATACGATTAAATTGCAATATGACCTGATAACCTTTCAAAAAGCTGATGATGATGACCTTTCATGGGTGGAATAAATTAAATAAAATACATATAAATTGAAAATAATTATTTAAATTATCCTATTAAATGCTTAAGTACTTAAATAATTATTGTTTGAGAGGGTTGGGGCAGTTAAGAGAGGAAGCAAATATCAGGGTAATGAAATTTGAAATTATAGTAGGGCATTTCGTGGAGAGTGATTATTGTTTCATTGTCTCGTTGGAAGGGTTAATTAAGAGCTATATTGTAAAGCATATAGCTATTTAATTCCAAAGGCTGTGCAGTAGTCGGCGTGGTGTAATTCTAACACATCAGTCCGGTCTACTGAAGATGCTGGTTCGCTCCCAGCCGCCGATTAACCTTTTGTACTAGCTAAAGGAGAAAAATAGCTATAGCCCAGCTGCTTTACTATATGTGTTGTTAAAACTAGTATTTATAAAAAAATAAATTTATTATAATATTTATATAAAAATAAATAAAAAATTTTAATTAAATTTTTCTATAATTCATCTTTGGATTTTAAGGTTTCTTTATTTATTCCTCTAATAACATCAAAAGAATAATTTTCTGTTAATTTTTGCCAAAATTTTAATTTTTCGGGATACAATGCTGATTCCATTTTTGGATTAGTTGGGTTTAACCGGGCAAATTGTAAAGGATTTTTGGTGTTTAAATTGTGCCATTTAAGTGTTGATATGCTTGGATTGCTTAAATTAATTTCTTTATTTAATTTTGAAAAAAATTGGAATTTTCTAGAAATGTTTTGAAATTAGGGAAAATTTTGAAAATTAATAAAAGATTTCTTAGATTTAAATAAAAGATTTTAAAAATATTGAATTTCTGGAAATTCTTCGCAAAAAATTAAAAACAAACCCAGTAGTAACAAAATTAACGACAGAAGTGAGTAGCACTTTTTCAAATTCCAAATCCTCTTCAGAGAATTCCTCGATATGAAAAGGACATTCAGTAATATTAAATAAAGGAGGAAGCTCTACACAATGGTAGCTTCCTTTGAAAATTAAATTTTATATTTTTGTACATATATTAATTCTGATTTTTGTGATTTTTATTAATTCTGGTTTTTGTCTTTAAAATTCTGATTTTTTTGTATTTTTCTACTAATTTTAAATAATTTTTATTTAATTTTAAATTAAATCCACCTTTAATAGGGATATTTTTTGGATAATATTTCTTATTATAATAATCAATCATATACATAAAAACAGGCCACCCTTTTTCAAATTTGTAATGGACTTCTTGTAACATAGGTACAATAAACATAAGATCTGTAGTTAACTAAAAATTTGATATTTGATAATTCTGGTTCTTGTAATATTATTTTTAATTTTCGTATTTTTAATAATTTTTATTTTTGTATTTTTTTGTATTTTTAATTTTTGTGTTTTTAATAATTCTGATTTTTGTATTTTTCGTATTTTTAATAATTCTGATTTTTGTATTTTTTGTATTTTTAATTTGTGTATTTTTAATAATTCTGATTTTTGTATTTTTTTTTGTATTTTTAATAATTCTGATTTTTGTATTTTTTTGTATTTTTAATAATTCTGATTTTTGTATTTTTTTGTATTTTTAATTTTTGTTTTTTAATAATTCTGATTTTTGTATTTTTCGTATTTTTAATTTTTGTATTTTTAATAATTCTGATTTTTGTATTTTTTTGTTTTTTTAATAATTCTGATTTTTGTGTTTTTTTGTATTTTAATAATTCTGATTTTTGTATTTTTTTGTATTTTTAATAATTCTGATTTTTGTATTTTTTTGTATTTTTAATAATTCTGATTTTTGTATTTTTTTGTATTTTTAATAATTCTGATTTTTGTATTTTTAATAATTCTGATTTTTGTATTTTTTTTGTATTTTTAATAATTCTGATTTTTGTATTTTTTTGTATTTTTAATTTTTGTATTTTTAAAAATTCCGATTTTTGTATTTTTCGTATTTTTAATAATTCTGATTTTATAATTAAACAAACATCTAAGTATTTCTTCAAAAAATACAAAGACTCTTCTTTCTTATTTTTTCCATCAATTTTACCATTATCAGATAAATAAAAGTCAATTATTTTTTGTTGTACTTCACTTCCTTCATTTTCATTAACAAACGCATTCTTCGGGGCAACTAGCTTTCTAACAAAATTTTCAAATTTTTTTCTATTATAATTTTCAATTTCTTCAGGTTTCACAGACATTCCCCCATCCATAGAATTTTTTTTATCTAACAGTAGTACTTTAAAAAAATTTTTTAATTAAAATTATTTTTATAATAACTAAATGTAAGTGCTTCTGTATCTGCAACGCCTATAAAGTTTCTTTTTGTCGGTGCATTTTGAAGCAAAGTTTTAACATCATTTGGGAAGAAATCTGCATCTATTCGGGGGGTGAAAAGAAGCGAATTGGGCTCCATTCTAGCTGAACCCTGAAAATTATTTTTTAAATCCAACACCCATTCTCTATATCAACCAACCATTCTCTCTACAGCATCCATTAATTCCTCAACAGTTTTACCTCTCAAACATTTTTTTAATTCTTTAGAATCATCCAAAGTATCATCACAACCAACAAATTTAGCCATTTTCTCAGTTTCAAAAACTACCCGATTAGATACTGACCATTCAGAAAAGAATGTGCCGCTCATTTGGATAGTTTGTTGAAAAAGATTATTTGATAGAGGGGAAATACTTAAAGCACTGACACTTGCTGCGCCTTTAAAAAATATTTTTTAATTTCTTTACTAAGAATTAGGCACTCGTTTTAGAATAATGGGCTTTTGATGCCTTTACTGAGGAACCCTACGTCTTATAAATTAATTTTTACTTTTAATGTTTAATTAACAGTTTTAAGTAGAGACCGGACTGAGAGGGACGTACGAGAATCTAGATCGAGATCTCAAAAAATATCGATAACGATAACCGAGATTTTTTTCAAGATCTCCTCTCGGGCCGATCTCTAGTTTAATACACATTTTTAATACTCTCACTTTACGTCAGTTTTTCAGTCCGAGAGGTGACTTACAAATGAGAGTAAATTTCTAAATGATTAAAAATGTCCTTAAAAAAATAATTATTCAAAATGTCTACATTATTGCGGATTTAATTTTTCTCAAGAATCCAAATAATTACCAGCACTAAATCCAGAAATTGTTATTCTTTGAGGATCTCCTCCGAATCTCTCTATATTGTCCCGCACAAACTGTAAAGCTCTCAATTGGTCCCATAATCCATAATTCCCTGCAAAGTTCTTATCTCCCGTTGAAGCAAAACCTTTTAGGGAAATTTTTTTTGAAAATTAAAAAAAAAATTTTCTGCCTAATTGTCCAATTCTGTATTGGAAGGTAACAAAAACAATATTATTCTTGGCATATTTTTTGGCCATAGCTTCTTGTGGAATTTCTCTAGTTGTACCAGTTTGGTAGCCACCTCCATGAATAAAAACTAGAACTGGATAAAGGTGACCATCATCAGACTGTTAATAATTATATAAATTAATATTTTGTGAACATTATAAAATAACCACTTGAACTGAAATATTGTGTATCTTATAATGAGTGTATCTCAAATAGAATTTATCGTTTGCCTACTAGTCAGCTAATCCTTAAAAGGGCTTAAAATGAGTGTATCCCTATTGGGATTAATATAAGCCTAATTAAATGACACAATATTTCAGCCTACAATGTGTATCTACTGGGATCCACTAATTTTCCATTATTTATTCATTTACCTCCCAAGCAGGAGTTGCAATATCCATATAAAGACAATCCTCGCTGTGATCCTTCTCTAATGCCATCATACCCTTTTTAACGAATGGAAAACAGGCTGGAGCCCTTTCGGTCGTATCTTTGATATTTTTCCATTTTTTAGGTTCTTGAGGTTTCTTGAATTTATTTTTTATTTAATTTTATCTCTAAGTTTTCGTAAATATGTATTATAAGAATAGGTAATTTTCTGAAAAAAGTTAATCTTTTGCGGTCATCTTTGCGTGCATTTATTTTTTTCATAAAAAATTTAAATCCGGGAAACATCCAAAATTTCTTCAATTTTGGCCAAAAATCCTTTTCTTAAATAATGCTTGCCTCAAATCGAAGTTGATTAATTGGAGGTTTTGCAAAGGGAATGCCTAAAAACATTTTTACAGTTTTTGGCGTAGTGTCCTCATCAATAGTTAACGGAAATCCCCGAATTGTGCCATAAGTTGTTTCTACCAAAAAGGGATCATTTGTAGTTATTGGAAGAGGGAATAATAATAAAAATAAAATTAATAACATTTTTACTAAAAAATATTTAAAATTAGAAATATTCAATCGAGTTTGTAAATCTTAATTTTAGCTTTTCCAAAAGGTTGGATTATCCCATAGAACCTAGGTATAAATGATATTAAAAAATATTATTACAAAATTTAAAGAGAATCTGAGAAAAACAGAACGAACTATGTAAATGTTTTGGGTGGTCATATCTATTGTTGAACGCAAAATTTTTTATTATTTTCTATTGACTTGGGAAGGGAAAATTGTACTAAAAATTGATTCAGCCGGGTTTATTTTGCCTCAACTATGTATTTACTGCTTTGCTTTACCCGCAACTATTCTCGCTAAAATAAAATTTTTCATCGACGACTTTTTCTAAAATATGTAAACAAATTAATAAAAATAAATTTCTTCTTTTATTTAAATAAAATTGAAATAATAATAAAGAAAATAGTGGTATGATTTTTTAAATGAATTATTGTTAATATCAGCGTTAATTTAAAATAAAAATGTTTTTGCCTGTTTTTGCTTTCTCAACAAATATTCAATTAGTTTTTTTTATTTTGTTATCAAGACCGACACAAGTTTATTATCTTTTAAGATATTATTTATGTATGTACATATATAAAATATGAAATATCAAGTACATCCTACAACTTAAGGAAGGCTTTAATAACTTTAAAAACTTCAATAAACCTTTGTTAAACATTATTTATTTCAATTATGACTTTATGGATTGACTTAAAATAATAAAAACCTGAAGAATAATTTATTATATAACTTACCAGAAAGGTTTATAAAACAATCTTTTATAAATTTTAGAAACCTTTATTAAATTCGGAAACTACATATTATACCGTATTTTTTTACATAATAGTGCGACTCTCTTTATTAGACCGACCCCTTCTAAAAACCGAACCTCTAGAGGATGGTTAAAAATAAACCGACCGGTCGCTCTATTAGAAGAAATACGGTATATTTTAACCCTCATGAAAATTTTCTTGAAAAATCTTTTTTGCTTTAGTTATCCAAAAATCAAATTTTTTTAAATATTGTTCTAAAATTTTGTTTTTTAAACAGTCTAAAAATGCAGAAATTGATAAAATTTAATTATTGAATTTTATTTACTAAAAAATACCATCGTCTCATCCTTTGAAGAGCTTTCCAACATAAACACAGCCTTTTTTCTCCCTTATTTTTCAACACCGACTGACTAAACTAATTTGCTTATCCAGCATTTTAAAAGAGGAAAAAAGACTTGGCTATTTTATTCAAAAATATTGAGGCGGAAAGCGGCAAATGGAAATTTTGGGAATACTTTTAGTAGACTGGATTAGTCAATAAAACATTAATGTTTACTTTTTTGTAATAAAAAATTCCATTTATTAAATTAAAATTCAACTTTATTGTGAATTTTAATATTTTTGTATGAATAAATATTTTTTGGGATTTAAAAAGTTTTGCTAAATTAATATTTTTCAGCGAAAATTTTTACCATTTTTTATACCAATAAAATTTTCGAACGGCTAATAGAAATATTCAGTCAGCTTTTTTACTTTTTTTTTGCCCCATGTATATGTTGACCAGGTCTGCACGGAATTGCGGATTGCGAGTTGCGGATTGCGGAAATTGTGGGGGTTTTTGCAATTGCGAGCTGCGGAATCTTTTTTTGAATTGCGTGATGTCGACCTTTTTTGAATCATTTTTGTCATCTATTTGGGCTTTTTTACAACCTATTTAAGTGCCTATTTTTAAGTTTTTACAACCTAAAAATCCGATCCCTAATAATTACATATTTAATATTATTACCTATACTATAATTAATATAATTAACAAATTTCCGGAAATGAAAATTCCTGAAGGAACATCATTTCTCAATTTAATTTTTATTTTACTCTCCTTTGTAAAACTTTCATTCCATCAACTTGCCTGCCCAGTTCGAATAGTTTCTCACCGTTTAATTACTTCAGGTCAATATAATTCCGGAAAGGGGAATATTCACTCTGTAAGTGTTCTTCAACTATATTTTTTACAATTGACAATTTAAGATGAGTGGGATTTGGAGGCATTTTAGTACAGACAAAAGTACAATTCACAAACAGATTTCTGCTGCCTTAGGAAGTGAAATGATCGAGTCGAGTGTCCAAATGCCTGGACCTAATAATTCTGCAATTATTTATAGTGAACATTATGAGCCTGACAGTGAAAACAGCCTTTTTAATAATTTCAAGGCAAAATTTCATTAATAAATATGAGAATCTACACTAAAACAAAAAATAATAAACTTTAAATTTTAGTGCCAATTTATTTTTATTGGTGCACCAGACGAAAGGGTACAAGTCATTTTTCATTGGTTTCATCTAAGGTTAATGCCATCACTTACAATTAGCTCAAGAATAAATCTTAATCAAACAAACATTTTCGGGTAAATTATTTTTATTTTCTTTGTAAATTTTGTTAGCTGAAAAGAAGCTGAAAAATTGTATCTTATAATAAAATTTATAAAATTTAGGGAATGTTTCTAAGGTCAACCAACTCAAATATTTACACTCTCTAATAATAATTACCCCTTAAATCGTGAGATTTATTCAAGTAATTGCCTACCTTGAATAATTATTGACGTACCTGAATATGGGAATTGAATTTTACCCACTGGAAGTTTACCACTTTTTGCCAATTTTGCCCACTCGATGATACTCGAACTCGATTTTTCTTTAAATTTGGCATAAAATCTTTTCAAAAAATTAAGAGATAATTTTATAGACGATGTGAAGAAAGTGATCACCTTCTGGCACATGTCTTAGTCTGTACATGTTATTTTAAAAATATTTAAATTTAATTATCTAGTTAAATGAAAGAATGTCAAAAATTATTGAGTTTTGTGGGGATGAATTGCCAGCTCAATTAATGTCAGCAAATAATGTTTTGACATTAACTTATGTTTTAAAAAGTGCATTAATTGGGAGAGGAATTAACCAGTTTTCTGATAATAATGAAGAAAGTGAGGAAAGTAAGGAGGATAGGGAGCATCATTATGGATGGGTAATTTTAAATTTTTTTTAATATTGGAATTTAAATAGATTAAGTAGAAACTCATTTTTAGATATGCCCTAGGGCTGTAAAAATCACTAGGGCTGTAAAAATCACTTTAAAATGAGGTATTCTAATATAGGAGGGGTAACGTTTAGACAGTCCTCTACCTAATCGCTAACTAAATTAAAAAAAGCATATCTTAAATTGATGTGTTTATTATTAAGTGTGTTAATTGAGTTTAATAAATGTGAGATTAATAAAATATGTTTTAAGATAGCAGAATATCGTTTCATTACCGATTATGGCAACCAACCATCAATTCTTAATGGAAATGATTGTAATTTAAATTAAATAAAATTTCAAAGGAAGTTTAAAAAATAAAATTTTTAGCATGCTCGTTCCTCTTTGATGGGACTATAAACAAAACAGGAAATGTATGGAGCCCTAACTATCCCGGTTATTTATTTTTTTAATTAAGATAATAAAAGGGAGAAAGTCCATGAACACCTTTCCGGAAGAATTATAAAAACATAACTCCGAAAAAAGTCTCTTAATAAAATTCCAAAGGGACTTTAAAACTATAACCTATCTTTCAATGCTTGATTAAAACATTATAATCTTACGAAAAACATCTTTTATTTAATTCAAAAATAATTTCTTTTCTTTCATAGGCTTTTATCCACGAAATGTGGATTGCCAATATGTCTTTCTTGGAGCAAAAGATCAAGTTGTATTTGTTACTTTTGAATATTTTGATGTTGAAGGACGTGGACAGTAAGGAAAAATAATAGATTGAATTTTAATTTAAAAATTTATAAGGTGTGATGATAAGGCAAAAAGTGATTTTGTATTATTCAGTAATTACAGAACACGTGACCGGTTCTTATTTTAATTTATTATTTAAAATAATTTTAAAGAACAAATCGCCGATTTTGTGGAGCACTCAGACCTAAAGACACAATAAAGAGTGAAAGTAACTATTTTAGAATGATTTTCCATTCAAACGATATTTTTGATGGAACTGGCTTTTTCGCTCGTTATCAATTCTTTGATCAAGGCATTTTAATTTTTTCTTATTAAAATTTAATGTTTTTCCGGAAATCTTTAATAATTTACCGGAATAATAATTTTATAGTACAATTCTGGAAACTATATAAATTAATTATATTTTAATTTAAGGCTCAACAAGAAAACTTCCAAAATTAATGAGCACAAGTGGCAGTAACAAATTAAAAATATCTAGTATACTAACAACATTCTTAATCTTCATTTTTAGAATTTGGCTAGTAATTAATAATTAAATATATTTTAATTTCTTAAATTTGTAAATACTATCATCTTACCTCATATTTTTTTATGCCTTATTTTCACTGCCTTAATATTTTAATTGTTATTTAATGTTTATTATAAATTTTCGTAAAGAGATTTATAATTTTTTATATAGCTTTAATAAAGGGTTCGGTTTTAGGACCTCCAAAATTCTTAAAATTTTCGCCTGCGGCACAAAAATGGGAGACTTTTTTGTCACCTACGGAGCGAAAAAAAGTTTATGAAAATATTTTTGTAGTGTACTTATATTCTGAAAATTTTTCCCCTTATATACTTCCAAATTGAACTTTTTGTACTTACACTTAACATTTTCTCGATCCGAAGCTTTAATATATTTTAACCGGTGTTGTACTAAAAATTAATATTATCAAGTATGATATCTTATCAATTACTCCTATTACTTGCAAATAAACTATCATTGTAAAAAAATAAACTACTTTAATATAAATAAATAATTGGTTATTTTTTTAAATAAAATTGCACATACATACATATTTTCCTCTTTTAAATTTTTGAATGATTAGAAAATCAATTTTCCCTATTTAATATTAAAATAATTTCTTAGTCACCTGTGATGGAGACAAGATATTTAATTCCTCCAAAATTAAACAATTCCAATCTTGGAGATAAAATTGTAGGTTATCGCCCTTGTCGGCATGGACCCCCTCGAATGGAAATTGAAAAGAAAAATTATAAGGGTAAAATAAAAATAATTGGGCATAATTATGGGCATGCTGGGAGTGGTTGGACTCTTTCGCCTGCAATTGTTTATTATTTAAACAAACTTTTAATTGAAAATATTGAAGAAAGTGAAGGAGATAAGGGAATAAAAGGGTTAGTTAATATTTCTTATAATTAAATAAATAATTTTCAAAATTAGTATTAATGTGCCCATTTGTATTGTAGGAGCTGGAGTAATAGGCCTATTTACAGCTTACGATTTATTAAAGAAAGGCTTCAATAACTTAACAGTAATAGCTGAAAGTTTTGAGGAATTGACTTCTCATATTGCAGGTAATAATTGAAAATATTATTAAAGCTTTTTTTTAAACCTCCTTAAATATTAAAGGAGGTTTACTTGCACCTTTTGCTCTAGAAACTGACAATACTAACGAAAAAGATTTGATAGACAAATTTTGTATTGAAACTTGCAACTTTTATTTGGAAATTGCACAAGGGAAAAATTCTGAATTCTCTTCTGAATGTGTCCAAATAATGCCTGCTTATGTTGATGAGGCTGTTGCTAAGTTATTGGGTAGATAATTAAACGATATTTATTATAAACACTAGGGTTGTTCCCAGTCCCCGTCCCGAAAGTCAGGGGAATTTGAGAGATTTTTTGAAAAAAACCCTAATAAACAAAAAAAAAACTGGAACAACCCTAATAAACACTTTTCGGGAATAACACAGAGAGATTAAAGTAAATAAAAATATCCATCTCTCCGGAAAGTTCAAAATAAAATTTATTTAGAGCCCTATGTTACTGCTGGAATAATGAACCCTCCAAAACAAGTAAACGTTCAATTTAGCAATACTTGTCCAAATAAAAAACAAAAATTATTATTTGTTATTGACAATGCTATACTAGTACAAACAAATTTAATGATGAATAAACTTTACAAATTATTAAAAGAATCTGGCAAAATTAATTTTATTAAAAAGAGAATTGAAAGTTTTGAGGAAAATATTGAAGAATTTGATGTAATTATTAATTGTACTGGAATTGGAGCAAAAAAGCTTTGTTTGGATGAAAAAATGTATTCAATGCAAGGACATTTAATTAATCTTAAAGGTGTTGGTAATTCTTCGGTTCGTATACCCTGCTCTTTGTGCCCCCCTTTTTTCCTTACCATTTTTTCATTTTTCCTCCCCTTTCTCCCTTGTTTTTCATGGGCAAGTATCAAAAAGGATTACGAATATTTAGTATTTATGCATGAGAAAAATCAGGAAAAATTCATTTACATTCAAATTCATTCAATAGACTGTACGACAATTGCAGATACAAAAATTTTTAAAAAATTATGATTTTTTAAAATCCGCGTCATTTTAGAAATGGTAATTTCAATCATTTTTAAAAATTTTTTAGAAATTTTTAATCCCCAATTGTCATATACGCAATCGTCAAATTTTTATAGTTTTGGGGGAACTATTCGATTTATAATAAATTAAAATCTTGTCACTAAATTTGGAGTCGAACCTAGCAATAATAAAATGGTCGCTAGTTGAAGTCTAGCAAGGTCTTGTCCTCTAGGGTTTTCTTGCCCATGAAAAATAAGGGAGAAAGGGAGGAAAAATGAAAAATGGTAAGAATAAAAAGGGGGGCACAAAGAGGAGGGTATACGAACCGAAGAATTACCAAGGTGTTTTCTTCAATTTTTGGGGATGCCCTCCAAACTATCCGGAAACATTAGTTTACGAAAAAGACTGGTACTCTTGTGTTATCTCCCCCCATTTTATTTTTCTTCTTCTTTCTCCATAAAAAGCATACATGAATCCGATTAAGATACTGTTAAAGAATTATGGCGATAGGTACCCAACTCTGGTTTTTTAAGGACCATTGACCATTATTGTGCTTGTGTATGGTAACTCTGGATGAATAGGGCCCTCTATTCCCTTAAAATATTCTGGTAAACAGTGAACGTATTGTAAATAGAAGTATTGGTAGACATACCAACGTTGAGATTGGAACTCTAATTTCAAAACATGGTAACTCACGACATAGATTCAATTTGCCCATGTGCATTTTTGAAAAATAAAAATGATAGGGGAAGAAAAATAAAATGGGGGGAGATAACACAAGAGTACCAAAAGACTTAGTGAAAGCATAAAAATAACAATAAAAGCTTTATAACTTAAGAAAATCCTTTCGTTAATTATTCTTTATCCGGAAATGATTTATAAAAATTGCAACTTTCCAGAAAAATTGCAACTTTCCAGAAAAAAAATAAATAACTATCCCGGTTATTTAATAAAAATAATTGGGCATAATTATGGGCATGCTGGGAGTGGTTGGACTCTTTCGCCTGCAATTGTTTATTATTTTAAAGCTTCGGATCGAGAAAATGTTAAGTGTAAGTACAAAAAGTTCAATTTGGACTTTTAATTGAAAATATTGAAGAAAGTGAAGGAGATAAGGGAATAAAAGGGTTAGTTAATATTTCTTATAATTAAATAAATAATTTTCAAAATTAGTATTAATGTGCCCATTTGTATTGTAGGAGCTGGAGTAATAGGCCTATTTACAGCTTACGATTTATTAAAGAAAGGCTTCAATAACTTAACAGTAATAGCTGAAAGTTTTGAGGAATTGACTTCTCATATTGCAGGTAATAATTGAAAATATTATTAAAGCTTTTTTTTAAACCTCCTTAAATATTAAAGGAGGTTTACTTGCACCTTTTGCTCTAGAAACTGACAATACTAACGAAAAAGATTTGATAGACAAATTTTGTATTGAAACTTGCAACTTTTATTTGGAAATTGCACAAGGGAAAAATTCTGAATTCTCTTCTGAATGTGTCCAAATAATGCCTGCTTATGTTGATGAGGCTGTTGCTAAGTTATTGGGTAGATAATTAAACGATATTTATTATAAACACTAGGGTTGTTCCCAGTCCCCGTCCCGAAAGTCAGGGGAATTTGAGAGATTTTTTGAAAAAAACCCTAATAAACAAAAAAAAAACTGGAACAACCCTAATAAACACTTTTCGGGAATAACACAGAGAGATTAAAGTAAATAAAAATATCCATCTCTCCGGAAAGTTCAAAATAAAATTTATTTAGAGCCCTATGTTACTGCTGGAATAATGAACCCTCCAAAACAAGTAAACGTTCAATTTAGCAATACTTGTCCAAATAAAAAACAAAAATTATTATTTGTTATTGACAATGCTATACTAGTACAAACAAATTTAATGATGAATAAACTTTACAAATTATTAAAAGAATCTGGCAAAATTAATTTTATTAAAAAGAGAATTGAAAGTTTTGAGGAAAATATTGAAGAATTTGATGTAATTATTAATTGTACTGGAATTGGAGCAAAAAAGCTTTGTTTGGATGAAAAAATGTATTCAATGCAAGGACATTTAATTAATCTTAAAGGTGTTGGTAATTCTTCGGTTCGTATACCCTGCTCTTTGTGCCCCCCTTTTTTCCTTACCATTTTTTCATTTTTCCTCCCCTTTCTCCCTTGTTTTTCATGGGCAAGTATCAAAAAGGATTACGAATATTTAGTATTTATGCATGAGAAAAATCAGGAAAAATTCATTTACATTCAAATTCATTCAATAGACTGTACGACAATTGCAGATACAAAAATTTTTAAAAAATTATGATTTTTTAAAATCCGCGTCATTTTAGAAATGGTAATTTCAATCATTTTTAAAAATTTTTTAGAAATTTTTAATCCCCAATTGTCATATACGCAATCGTCAAATTTTTATAGTTTTGGGGGAACTATTCGATTTATAATAAATTAAAATCTTGTCACTAAATTTGGAGTCGAACCTAGCAATAATAAAATGGTCGCTAGTTGAAGTCTAGCAAGGTCTTGTCCTCTAGGGTTTTCTTGCCCATGAAAAATAAGGGAGAAAGGGAGGAAAAATGAAAAATGGTAAGAATAAAAAGGGGGGCACAAAGAGGAGGGTATACGAACCGAAGAATTACCAAGGTGTTTTCTTCAATTTTTGGGGATGCCCTCCAAACTATCCGGAAACATTAGTTTACGAAAAAGACTGGTACTCTTGTGTTATCTCCCCCCATTTTATTTTTCTTCTTCTTTCTCCATAAAAAGCATACATGAATCCGATTAAGATACTGTTAAAGAATTATGGCGATAGGTACCCAACTCTGGTTTTTTAAGGACCATTGACCATTATTGTGCTTGTGTATGGTAACTCTGGATGAATAGGGCCCTCTATTCCCTTAAAATATTCTGGTAAACAGTGAACGTATTGTAAATAGAAGTATTGGTAGACATACCAACGTTGAGATTGGAACTCTAATTTCAAAACATGGTAACTCACGACATAGATTCAATTTGCCCATGTGCATTTTTGAAAAATAAAAATGATAGGGGAAGAAAAATAAAATGGGGGGAGATAACACAAGAGTACCAAAAGACTTAGTGAAAGCATAAAAATAACAATAAAAGCTTTATAACTTAAGAAAATCCTTTCGTTAATTATTCTTTATCCGGAAATGATTTATAAAAATTGCAACTTTCCAGAAAAATTGCAACTTTCCAGAAAAAAAATAAATAACTATCCCGGTTATTTAATAAAAATAATTGGGCATAATTATGGGCATGCTGGGAGTGGTTGGACTCTTTCGCCTGCAATTGTTTATTATTTTAAAGCTTCGGATCGAGAAAATGTTAAGTGTAAGTACAAAAAGTTCAATTTGGACTTTTAATTGAAAATATTGAAGAAAGTGAAGGAGATAAGGGAATAAAAGGGTTAGTTAATATTTCTTATAATTAAATAAATAATTTTCAAAATTAGTATTAATGTGCCCATTTGTATTGTAGGAGCTGGAGTAATAGGCCTATTTACAGCTTACGATTTATTAAAGAAAGGCTTCAATAACTTAACAGTAATAGCTGAAAGTTTTGAGGAATTGACTTCTCATATTGCAGGTAATAATTGAAAATATTATTAAAGCTTTTTTTTAAACCTCCTTAAATATTAAAGGAGGTTTACTTGCACCTTTTGCTCTAGAAACTGACAATACTAACGAAAAAGATTTGATAGACAAATTTTGTATTGAAACTTGCAACTTTTATTTGGAAATTGCACAAGGGAAAAATTCTGAATTCTCTTCTGAATGTGTCCAAATAATGCCTGCTTATGTTGATGAGGCTGTTGCTAAGTTATTGGGTAGATAATTAAACGATATTTATTATAAACACTAGGGTTGTTCCCAGTCCCCGTCCCGAAAGTCAGGGGAATTTGAGAGATTTTTTGAAAAAAACCCTAATAAACAAAAAAAAAACTGGAACAACCCTAATAAACACTTTTCGGGAATAACACAGAGAGATTAAAGTAAATAAAAATATCCATCTCTCCGGAAAGTTCAAAATAAAATTTATTTAGAGCCCTATGTTACTGCTGGAATAATGAACCCTCCAAAACAAGTAAACGTTCAATTTAGCAATACTTGTCCAAATAAAAAACAAAAATTATTATTTGTTATTGACAATGCTATACTAGTACAAACAAATTTAATGATGAATAAACTTTACAAATTATTAAAAGAATCTGGCAAAATTAATTTTATTAAAAAGAGAATTGAAAGTTTTGAGGAAAATATTGAAGAATTTGATGTAATTATTAATTGTACTGGAATTGGAGCAAAAAAGCTTTGTTTGGATGAAAAAATGTATTCAATGCAAGGACATTTAATTAATCTTAAAGGTGTTAACTTCAAAGTTTAGGGATGCTCGCTAACTTTTATTTAAAATAAATCATTCTATTATAACCTCCAAATTTTCCGGAAACATCTATTAAACATTCAATTTATTGCTAGCCTTTACTGGAAACATTAAAATAGTAACAAAAAATTTTACAACTTACAAAAAATATTTCTTCTACTAAAAAGAAAATTCTTTTTATTCTTTAAATTTCCGGAAATGATTTATAAAAATTGCAACTTTCCAGAAAAGGCTTGAGAACTAAATAAAGCTTAAATTCATCCTAAAATAGCAACCGAAAAATTATTAAAGTATTCCGGAACTGTATTAGAACCTTCTGAAAATTTATTCCCCTCTAAACTTGTTGTGAGCAGCTCTTAATATTTTTAAAATAATTTTGAATTAATTTTGAGAACAAAATGAAGCTGATCTAAATTATATAATTACTTGTCATGGTGAAATAGGCAAATCAGAAAATGGCCAAATTATAGAGAGACCTTTATACTTTTTTCCTAAAAGAATACTTCCTTCTAATTTTACAAAAAATACTAATAATTCTGTGGAGGAAAAAGAATGTTTTGGTGTACTTGGTGGAACTTTTGTTTAAAGTGTGTATAATTAATTAAATTAATTTTTAAATTTATTTCTTTAGATGCTGATGAAAATTCTCCAAACTCTAGTGAATTTAATTTGCTTATTCAAAGAGCACGTGACTTCTTTTTTTCTTAGATAAATATTTATATAATGACATCTAAATCAAAGCTATTATGTATTTCCAGAACAATTTTTATTTTGAAATTTTAAATATATTTTCTGAATTACTCTTTATTAAATTAGCGGGAAAAATTTTATTTAGAATAGAGCTTTATTTAATTGTGATAAATCGAGTAGATCAACTTTTTATTTGTTAATGAGGGCATTGTGCGTTATCTAGAACGTCGAATTGTTTATGTTTATTGAAAATTTTAACAGCCTATAAATTACTGATAACTCATATTTTGGAAAAGATAAAAAATATATACCTATATATAATTTGGATTACCCCCGATAAGTAATCAAAATTATCTCTCGATATATTATATGAAGATGTCTTGTAAATTCGACTATATTTGCAATTCTAATTTTATACTTTTTTTCTAATTAAATAAAAAAACTTCCATTTTTTACGTTTAAAAAATCGAAGGAAAGTTGTAGTTTAATTTTATATACCTATTTCTATTTTTAGTGTAGCCTTATGACAGCGATTTTGATTTATTTAAGATTAATTAATCAAGTTGCGGAACAAAAAAAGAAAATTTTTTATAATATATAAAACCTTAAAAATTATTTCCCACACAATTATTTTTATTTAAAACTTTCCAGAAAAATTATTAGGTTGGAGACCGAATTGGAGACCGAACCGAGATTAGATCTCGAAGAAAATCTCGTTTATGTTATCTATATTTTTCGAGATATCGATCCCTATTCTCCTACGACACTTTCAGTCAGGACACTAATATAGGGAATACCTTAAGGACCTTTAGGAAAGAAATAAAATTACCTAAGTAAATTTTAGAAGAAAATTATCGAAAAAACAAATTAAAGGAACAACCCAAAAAAATGTTTTGTTTTTCAATTTATATTTAATTTTAAATAAAATTTGTGTACTTTTAATTTTTTTTTCTCCCTTTGTAGCAATTAATTTCTTTTTAAACTCCAACCTGTTTCAATTTGTGAACTTTTTATCTTTTTGTTTAATTTGTTAAAAAATAGATTAAAATAATATTTAAAAAAATATTTTGAAATAATGTCGAGATTTGTATTACTCCTTTTATTATTATTCATTATTTGTATAGCGGCGGTTCTTTCAAGTAAGTTTACTTTATTGGAATTTGTTCCCTGTAACTTTACATAATATACAAAAAATTATTAAAGGACACCTTATATGGGATCCTTTACTTCATGGAATTACTCCAGAAGCAAAGCGGGACTATGACAAAGCAATATCTAAAGGAAATATTCGATTAGCTGAGGAAATACGACATAGAATTGGACATGAAATTATTAGTGCCTTTTGGGCTGGGTAAATAAAATAATTAAGTCTTTAATTTAATTATGAAAAATTTTTTTAGAGTTCATGTTAGTCAACTACGCCCAATTATGAAGGAATGGGATTTGGATTTTAGTGCAATGAAGAAATAAAAGTTTAGTGTAAAACGGATATTTATATTTTTAAATTAATTATTAAAATACCTAACTAAAATCTTTTGTGTATTTTTTAATAAAAATGTTTCTTTAATGTACCTATGAAATTTACTAACGCTATTATATTTTAATTTTATTGAGTAAGAGCTTGTTATAATTTTTGAAGAAAAATTTTTTATTATGAAACAAACAGTCTACTAATTAATGTTGAAAATTTTTCAAGTTATGGACAAATATCTAGATTCTCGGGCATTGTCCACGTAAAAATTTTTTCTACTCAACTCAGCGAGGCGAATTTGAAATATAAAGCATTTCAAGCTAAATTATAGTGTTGAGCGTGCTCTTTCAAATATTAAAAAATCTCCAGTCCAAAGTAGATCCCGCAATCCTGAATTTCATAGGTTAATTTAAAATTATCAGTAAAATTTTCTGAAAAAGATACTTTTTATTTATGTATTTTTTCACTCACATCAAACAACCATTCTTTCATAATTGTTTACCTATCTAAAATTTTTCTTTGATAAAGCATCAAAATATTTCGAAATTTAACATTCTTATTTTTATATTTATTTTTACTCAGGAGTTATTTAAAATGCACTATATTTGCACTCTTAGTAAACGTTTAATATATTTATTTTGTGTCCTGTTTAATCCCCTTCTATGTCTGTTATATTTATTTAAAATTTAAAAAGATACATAAATATTTATTACAGTTCGGATACGAAAATTTTTTTTTAATATTTTATATTCGCTAAAAACTTATATTTAAGGTGGATGTGAAAGGGCTAAATTAAATAATATTTTTAAATTAAAATTTCAGATGGTTCTTAAATTTATTATTATTTCTCTTTCATATTTTGTTTTTCTATTGAATATTAAATGCAACGGAAAATCTTTTCAAGTTGAGGTGGAAATCAAAAATGATTGGGAAGGAAAAAGAGAATTTATTTATTTAAAAAATATTGAACCAATTAAACGTTTTGTAGTGAAAAAAATTGAGAAAAATAGCAATAGATATGCTAGTAATTTTAATTATAATATAGAAGGATTTTTGCATCCAGTTAATTTAAATATTAAAAGCAATACTTTTAGTGTTGAACTAGCACATAGATCAAGATATGTTCCAGCTATTCAATTAAAAAAGAAAATTGTGATTGAAATAGCCAATAATCAAAATATTCAGGATTTTTTGCCGGGATTTGAAAAACAAGTATGATTATTCGTTTATTTTAACCAACTGAGCGTATATTTTTTTGCCAAAAGTTAATCACTTTTGTGAAATTTTAGCAACCAAAAACCGGAAATTTACGAGAATGAGTGATTTTTTTAAAATTCTCTCAAAATAAAACGGTATTAGACCAAAACTCAAAACCGAAAACAGAGGTACCGGTATATAACCGGTTGTGTCCTTCTATTATTTACCGTTTATCCTCCAATAATTACCTTTTCTCAAATAATTGTCCCGTTTCAATTAATTACCCCATTCAGATAGTTCAAGCAATAATTACCCTCCGTTAAATAATAAAACTCGAATAATTTCCTCCACTAAATTAACTACTCCAGATGTTGAAATAATAATTAACAAGAGCTTTATATATTTTTATAAATATTTAAAATTCACTAATTTTATATATTTAAGGTATTCTTAAATAATAAATTTGCTGATAAGGGTAATAATTATTATCAAGTATCTATATTAGATGAAAGTTCTGATAAAAATAATAAATTGAAATCAATTGAAGAAAATATAGAGAATTATAGAGTTAAATTTTTAAAAAGTTATTGGACTGAAATTAATTTAATTGGATATAAAATTGAATTGTTGAAAAAACAAAAATTTGAATATCCAAATGAATTAAAAACAAAAATTATTTGCATTGGAAATAAAATAAGTAAATAAATTTTCATTATTGTTCATTTAATTAATTAATTGATTTTTATTGAGAATTTTAGAAGGTCAAGAAGCCAAATTTCATCCATTTTGAAAATAAAATAAGGAATTCAAAAAAGTTTAATCTTCTTAGGTGTGTAAATTTAGAAAAGTTCAAAAAAGTTGAGAGTAAGCAAAAAAAAACTCCAAGAAAAGTCTTAAGTCTACTAATTAATGTAAAAATGTTTTATTTCTAATTATTTAGGTGAAATTATTGAAGGAAATAAACGGAATTGTTTCAATTGTAATGCTAGACAAACCACTATATGGTTTGTATACCTAAAAGAAAATTACATATGTTTTGCATGCTACCTATATTTAAATAGGAATGGGAAGATTAGACCGATAAAATTGTGGTATAATTCTAAAAAGGTTTATCTTTAAATTTATTTAGGAAGATAATTTAAAAATTATGTCGAACTTCTAAACACACTTGGCTAGAATTTTGTATTTAAAAATGTAGTAATGTGGGACATGTTTCTATTAGTGTACGGCGCTGGAGGCATTTTTCCGGTGTCCGTGTACAAAATACTGGTTTTTTCGGGTTGGGGCTTGCAAATTTTTATTTGTTTGAGTTCTTGCTGTATATTTGGTTTAAGGATGATCGTCAATGCTTTAACTGCGGTACTAAACAAAGTACAAATTGTCTGTTTCATTCAGAACCTGCTAATTACATATGTAAGAACTGTTACCAGAAACAATATAAAATAAAGAAAAGAAATGATAAAAATTTAAGAGAAAAGGAATCAAATAAATAGAAACAATTCATAAATTGTTAAAGAAAAATGTCTTGAGAAAATATTAAATAAAACAAGTTAATTCTATATTTATATTATTATTCTAATATCATTTTTCTATAAACACCTTTCCCTTTATATTTATAAATAATTTCAAAGTTTAAATAAATATTTTAATTGGCAAACTCGGTAAATGTCCAGTTGATGTCCTACCTGGGCCGGTATCATAAGAGCGTGGTTGCTGGCAGAGGTGGGTCGGAACAGTCAGAGATGTCGGAAATCGGAACTGTCGGAAATCGGAAATGGCTCAAAAGTCGGAAATCGGAAATCAAAATTTTTTTTCGGAAATCGGAAATCGGAAATCGGAAGGAAAAAAACGCCGGAAATCGGAAATCGGAAGGCGGAAATCGGAAATAAAATTTTTATTTTCATAACTGAAATTTATTTAAAATTGTAAGGTGGTAAATTATGGGCCTTCTTAAGTGTAATTTGAGGGTGTAAAAGTTCTTTTTGCAACTCAAAAGTCAAATTCGAAGGGATTAAAAGAGATATTGTTGGATTTGGTAGATTAGACGGGATATCAGAGAATTTATAGAATTAATAGGGATATTTGGAGTTTAAAATTGAGGACTGATAGAGCCTATGTTCCCTCGTAATCACACGATATAACTCAAAGTCCACTTTAATCTAACCTAATCCTCCGATATACTATTCAACTTCCATTTACAGCGCCGCAGGCAAAATTTTTGGGATATTTGGGAGCCTTAAGTCAAAAATCTTCCATTTTTTGCGCCGCAGGTGAAAATTTTGAAAATTTTGGAGGTCCTTAAGTTAGATTTCTTCGAATTTTTGCGCCGCAGGCGAAAATTTTGAGAATTTTGGAAAAATCTCTAGTCGGAAATATGCTTCAAAAATTCTCGGAAATCGGAAATTTTTCCAAAATTTCGGAAATCGGAAATCGGAAGGAAAAAAACGTCGGAAATCGGAAGTCGGAAATCGGAATTCCGACCCACCTCTGGTTGCTGGTTAGGTGACCAACCAGCGCCCAACTTTTCCCCTATAATTTAAAAAGAAGAGAGAAATGGCTGCGCCGAAAAAACAGGGAAGAAAAGAAAGAGGAAAAGTATACTGTAGTTTTCCTCTTCTTTTCTTCTACCCTGCTAAGGGGCAGGGTAGAAGATTTTTTAAAAAATCATTAAAAAGCGAATTTTGATGGAAAAATTAAAAATTTAATATTTTTAAATAGCTTGAAGTGTCCTCTATTTTTTGACATAATTTTTGGAATTTTCCCTTCAAAACTTAATTTATGAGAATTTTTTTAAAAAAGTACCTCATTTTTCAGTGATTTTTTAGGAAAAAGTAGTACCTTGCTAGAAAAATCACAACTTTTAAATAAATCGGTCAAAATTTTTAATTTTTTGGTAAATCGTAGACAACACTCCAATCTATATTTTGGCAAAAATAAAATTTTTACCTCCATTTAAAAAAAAAGTTATGATTTTTCTCATAAATAGGGAGAAATGAGAAAAAACGGCGACGCCAAACCCGCGGCATAGGGTCGCCTCGGCGCTGCCGTTACGATGGTTACCTAACCACGCTCTTATGATACCGGCCCTGTCCGCAAAGGAGGACTTACTTTCATTTTTTGCTTTCTGCGTAAAAAGTTGCTTCTTCTTAATAGTCTTAATTAGGGTAGGAACCCGATCCTTCGGGTTCCTACCCTAATTATGTCGGGGATTGGGGCAGAGTAGAGCCTTCGGAGTTCGAGTCTGGGGTTTTTTAAAAAGGGGGGACCCTAGTTTTAATAAAATTCCTCCATAAGTTTTACACAATCAAATAAATTCTTCACAAAGCTGACTCAAGTTTATTTACTAATTATTTACGCAAAATATTTAATAAAAATTATTTCCTTGAAATAAATTTTGTTTTCTTCAATTTCATTATTAAATTTATTTATTTGCGCCTACGACTTCATGTCAATTAATTTATTTAAAATATTTTTTTATTATTTATTTAAAAAAAATTTTTGACAAATTAGATTACCTATAACACTTTTTAAATTTAATTTTTAAAATTTTTACATTTTACATATCATAAGAGCTTATCGTATTTTGTAAACAATTAAGTTTTTTATTTAATTATTGCATTCTTCAATACGCCTACCTAAATTTTACAACTCTTTTGCTTAATTAAATTTAAAAAATATTATTTAATGCAGAAAATATTAGCCATTAAAAACATTTACATACTTCTATAATTTAAAAAAAAAATTATTTCCTTCAAAATAATAAAATTTCCTTCTGTATATTTTTTAGGAATTTTTAAAAAAATTTGCTTGAATAATAATTGGGGAATTATGCCGATAATAGACCCTCCCCCATATATTGTTAAATAAATTTACCTGAATTTATTACCTGAATCTACCTGAGACTTATCAAAGTGGTCTATTATTTTGAGATCTATCATTTGACGTTTTTTGAAATATTTTAGATATTTTGCTTTTTTTTTTATTTTTTTTATAAAAATAAATTTATTAAAGAAAAAACAATGTCAGTTTTCCACACCACCAATTCTTCAATTATTGAAATTAATTTTTTGCCTGCATTAATTGGATCTTTACTTGGATTAACTTCTTTCCTTTCTTTTATTGCTAATATAACAATTTTAATTGTTTTGTTACGTTCAAAATTGTTAAAATCTAATCCTTTATATATTCTTGCTTCTTTAAATTTTTTTAACGATGCATTTCATGGATTTGGATTTTTGGTGTTTTTGGCGCCGACTTCTTTTGCCCAAGTAAATATTACTTAGATTCTCTATACATATTAGGATATAATTATTTATTATTCGCACCTGAGAGTTTATCAAACAATATAATCGTCCTTTATTTTTGATAATATTCTATCACTAAAAATCCATATTTATTTAAAATCATGGAAGGTGGTGACTTTAGATTTACCCAAATTGATATTTAGGAAAGAATATCTCACTCATTTGTCAGAACCATTTCAGAAGAATTTTCTGAATTAATACGATGATATTAAATGATCTGGTATAAGCCTAAATTAAATTGATTATTTAATTTGACTCCCCAACTTTCTAATTTCATTAGGGTTGGGGTTTTCGAGTCGGGCCGACGTTCGAGTCATTCTTATCTGGCCTGCCCGACCGTGTCTCTTTCGTGCTTCGTTTTTATCGAGTCGGGCATCGAGTCATTTTCGGGCCAAAATTCGATGCCTGGGTCGATCTTTTGGACTGGTCCGGACCAGGCCCCCAACTCCCTAATATTATTAAGAAATATACAAAATAAAAAATTAATTTTAGAGTTATTTCTTCTCAATATTTGAACCATTTCAACCATTGTGGATTGTCTTTATGTTTGTATTTCAATTATCATATTACTCCTCCCTTTTAATTTTAATTTCAATTGCTATAAATCGGTTAATAAATAAATTAAATTTTTTAAAAGAATAATTTTAAAGAATGATAGCCGTAGTTTTTCCAAATAAATCACATTTAATTGATGATCGAGCAGTTAAAATCATTGTTTTTTCTATTTATCCGATAGCAATTCTTCTTTCGTTATTTGCCGATTATGTTTTGCCCTGTTGTCGGTTAGTTCTGTAGTTATGTAAATTATTATTTAGGCTGGGGAAGGGTTGACGGTCCTACATCAAATAGAACCGAACAAACAAAGACATGGACAATATTTCCCATTAGAAAAAACTTTAATTTTTATAAAAATTAAAATATTATAAAATTTTAAGTACAAATTATTCGTACAAAACATACTCTTACCAATTTTTTGTTTGGAATGAATCAACTACAAATTATAAAAATATGATAATGGATTTACCTATGAATATAATTACAACTACAATAATTTTTATATGTTATGGAGCTGTACGCAAAAAATTTTAATAAAACATTTCTAAATTAAGAGAGGGCTCCTCGGGGGGGGGTATGTCAAAAAAAACAAATCGTAAAAAAATGTCAGGGTATGGGATTTTCAAGGGTTGCGGGCTGAGTTGAAGAAGGGGTGAAATATAGCATAATTAGGGGCGTAGATCATTTAAATTAATCTAAACTAACAAAAAAATTTAATTTTAATAGATATTTACAAAAGTAATTAAAACTAATCGTAAAAATGTTATTCAAATGCCTTCAAATACGGAATTCAAGAAAAGTAAACGTAAAAGTGAACTAAAATGCGCAGCACATTTTGCTTTAATTTCTACTTTTTATATAGGTAAATTTAAATATGTATGAAAAATAGTATAAAATAAATATTTTTATAGCTGTATGGGTATCGTATAGAATATTTCCATTAATTGTTTCATCATCTACTCCTGAATGGTATTCCTTAACTGGATTTTTTATGATTTTAAATATATCTTCTAATGCCATAATTTATTTTACAATGAATAAAGAAGTGAGAAATTATTATTAAAATTTATTTTTTAAATAAATAAATCTTTAAAGGTCCAAAAACAATTAATTATCTCTGCTTATACTTTATTTGGTTTGCCAACCACAACTTTAACAAATCCTTCAAACAATTTAATAAATAATAATAGAAATAATAATCTGCAAGAAAGATGGGCTAATCAAAGACCAACACAGCTTCAACCTGTGAATAAAATTGTTAGATAATGTAAACTATGATTCCCGACTCTAGTCCTGTTTGCAAGCGGTACACCTCAACTGAGTCACCTCCTATCCTCCAAAATCCTTTGATATCCTTTCTAATTTCCAAATTCACAATATACCTCTTACTCCTATCGATAACCACCCTAATCCACTGATATCCCCCAAATCACTTAAAATCCTCTTATATCCTTCCATATTCGTCGCTATCCTTCTTGATCCCACGATGACACGTACATGTCAATGATGTTTACTTTAATTCTTCTAAATCCCAGATATCTCTTTTAATTCTTTTAATCTTATTAAACTATTGGGACTCAGTTGAGGTATATATCAGTTGAACTGTTTCGGGTGGCAGTGATGGAATGAACACATTTTTTGAATAAGCGAGTTAAATGTTTAAAAACATTTTTGGGCTAAAAATAATATTTATGGAAAGAAATGACAACAGGAAAAATGTATAAAATATATGCTTTACTTTCTCACTTCATTTAATTTTTTTGTATACATTCGAGAGTGTTTTTGTTTAAAATTTAAAAATAGAAAGTTTTTTGATTTACTGTTATTCGAACTATTATTACATAAAAATTTTTATGTTTTATCTTTAACCTAGCGAAATAAATTAACCTAAATATTAAAAGAAATTTTATCAATTAATCTTTATAAATTTCATTTAAATTTTTTCAACATTTAAATTAATTTTTTGTATTTATCATAAAAATATTCTTCCATTATAGTTCATATTGGCAATTCAAAGCATTTTAATTCTTTCCTCAATCTTCTAGAAATTTAAATTTATTAAATTTATTTTTTATCTTTTGAGTAAGCTGATATCCATATTAGGGAAAAATAGTCAAAAATTATCAGCAGAAAGTCGAAGGAAAACTTTTTTACTGTTTTGGCACCAGAGGTGGGTCGGAATAGTCAGAGGTTCGGAAATTACAAAAGCTTGCAATCGGAACTCACTCAAAAGTCGGAACTTGGAAATCGGAAATCTAAATTTTTTTCGGAAATCGGAATTCCGACCCACCTCTGTTTGGCACTCATCCCAAACTATATGGTCTTATAAAATTTTATTTTATTTAACCTGGAGTTGTTTCATGATGACAGCATCCAATATTATCACAAATCGACTTAACTAAATTACAAACAACTTTATCCCCACTAGCTTTTGTACAAGTATCATGACAATACTTTTCACAATCAAGTTTAAGAATTTTACAGTGCTCCTCCACCGAGAGACTAACCAAAAACAAAAGAATAGCCACAATTATTATAAATTGTTTCATTTTTGAAAATAAATTATTTTTATATTATTTTGCTAAACTATAAGTCTGAGTAAAATGAAAATGGTTTTGATCGAGGAATCAGGGGTTGAAACTGCGGAGTCGGGTTTAATGAGGTTTGGCTGAAGTTTTAGAATTTTACATTAATAGAGATGTAAAATTCCGGATTTCCCAGAATTGTTTGACTATACTATTCAAGATTGTTTAAATTTACTAGTGATGTGCGAGTCTCGGTCTTGACTCTCGAGTCGAGAAATTTCTAGGGTTTTTCGGGCTCTCGGTCTCGACTCTCGGCTTTTTTTAACTCTCGAACATCACTAATATTTACTCAACTTTTGAGTATAATGAATTGAATATTAATTAGTATATCCAAAAAAGATAGGTACCTAAATATAATAATTTAAATTTTATTGCGAGAAAATAATTTATAAATTTTTAAACTCCTCGTCTTATATATAAAATTTTTGACATTTTTAATTAACGTTTTTTTCAACACTTTAATGTGAATAAAGTTTAACATAATGTTATCTAGTTTTAGTTTAAAAATGTTTGTCACGAATTTTTTCCTACAATCCTAAACTTGTAAATAATAAATTCCTATTGTTGATTAGTAAGGAAAAGCGTAATATAAATGTTTGTTCATTTTGCCATTTTGTAATTGAGAAAAAAAAATATTAAAATTAAATTAAAATATTTTTGACTTTCTCATAAATTATTTTTATTTATTATTTTAATTATTAAATTATTGTGCCAATTTAGGTATTTATCGTTAGAATTTAAAGTACAGTAAAATTCATTATTAATAATTTTATTTATTATTTATCATTTAATCATTCACATAATTTATTCCTTTTCTGCTTTATCACTTCATTCTTTATAATTTGTTCAATACTAAAAGAGAATATTTAAAAAAATTATCTTAAATTCTCAAAAATTATGTCAACACTACATATTTTCTTATAGAAATTCTACAATAATTACTTAATAATTACTAGCAGAATTTTAGCATTACTTTTGATATATGTACTAGTATATCATAATCTAACAATAATCTAAATAATATTTTTAATTTCCTACCTCCATTTAATAAGCCAAAGCCATGGGAATGGCATATACTGATTGCTTTATCCAAATCAACACACAAATCTACATCAAGTAAACATTTGTCACATATAACAGCACACAAATTAGCAAGATCGTTATCATCGTCATCATTACCCGCTTTAATTGAAGCAATCATTGTCATGCTTATCAAAAGATAAAGTACTCCGAAAATCATGAAAGTTTTCATTTTTAAATCAAATAATGTTATTATGTTTATCTGAAACTAAAATGATTTTTATAAAATTATTTAGAAAATTAATTTAGGAGAAATGTTATTAATTTTGAGGTTAGATCAAATAATGCTTAAAAATAATCATAAAACAGATACTCGCAGAATTGTATTAGCGCCGCGTGCAGAAAAATTTTTCGAGACGTATTAAAGCAACTGAAAAAATTATTTTTTCACGGGGATGCATTGAATTCCGAAATTTTTTATGTGATCAGATTACATGATTCGCGGCTACTGATTTTTACAGAAAAAGGAAAAACTCTGAAATTATTAAATGGGATAATCTAAGTTAAGGTGATTTGATATTAAAATCAGTTTTAGTTTTTCAACTGATACCTTTCTATTAAATTCACAGCTATATTTATATACAAATCTCTGACTGAACTTTAACAATAACAATTTTAAAATTAATGTAAATATTTTTGAAGTTCATAATAATCAAAAAAACATTTATTATTTTTATTGCCAAAAAATTTAAATTAATATTTTTTATCACGTTATTTCTAAAAATAATCTATCTATTTATTGACCGATCAAAATAAATTATTCAAAAAATACTTTTAAATGTAAATATTTATAAAGTTTATCATTTTAAAAACAACCTAAAATAATCTATTTTTGTATAAATGCCAATAATTTGAATATCTATATTTATGAAATCATTTAAAATTATTTTTAGTAAATATTTAAAATATTCTTAAAGGATAATAAAATGGAATAGCTATGATATACTATAAGATTATCAGATCCTTACAACTCTTTGTATATTAGGCTGGGACATAAATTTCAGCATCTGTTCAATGACACTTTATAGAAAACTTCTAACAATATTTTTTACCTTTTTAACCCTTATTAATCTTTATAATAAAATTATGTATATGAATTTTACCTTACCTACGAAAGATTTTCAAAGGATCCAAAAAGTCTAAATCAATGACTTGATAAATAGACTATTAACGAAAACCCTCACAGATCTATTGAAGAATTAAGAGTATTTTACACCTTTATGCTATCCCTTTAATATCTCTTATTTTATATACGAATAAGCTTCATATTTAAATATTTATTTACAAAATCAATGAAAAATCAAATAATTTAAATATGTTAATTGATCATAAATATCGTTAAAAAATTTTTTAGATTATTATCAAAATATATTAATATTCATGCATATTTTATTAAATACCATAGTTTTTATTAAAAATTAATATTGTCTAATATCCACAATGATCTAAAAAGAATAATTAAAATTAAAATTTATTCATTTAAAAACCTTCAGTGCAATTAAACCCCAATTTTGCACATCGCTTTTTCACAGAAGCAAACAATCCTTTATAACTCTGACATGTGGGTAAATTTGAACAATTTCCTGCACAATCACTACATAATATTGTACATCCATCTTTGCATAAATCAGAATAAACGATAATTAATAAATTAATTAATAATAAAATTATTCCAAAAAATAATAAATTATTCATAATTAAATCTGAAATTCTGTTAATTTTTAGTTATTTTAAGTCAGAAAAACTTTTCCTTGAATTTTAACTGAACGATGAAATTTAAAAATTTTAACAGACTTGGTAATGGACATGGATGGATCTTGGTATCCGTATCCGGATATTTACGGCGGATACAGATGGATATCCGCAGGCATTTTGAACTTATCTGTATCCATATCCGCATCCATTACCAAACCTGGATTTTAACAAATCCTAGTCATTATTAATAATTTTCCGAAAATTCTTTCATTTTTAAAATTTTTCAACCATTTTTAATTATAAATGATTGAGATATAGAATTTTATTATAAATTAATTTTTAATTAATTAAGCATGTATTGATGTATAAAAATAAAATAATTTAGATAATTTATATTTAAATAAGCAGTAAAAGAAATTATTTTATTTGATTTTATTTTATTAAATGTTAAATTAAAATATCAATAATAATCACAAAAAGGAAGTATTATTTATTATACGTTATACAAGGAAAAATATTTTTTATGTTAAAATTCGTGGCAAATTTTAAACAAAATTATTCGTCACCTATAAAATATAAAATTTTATTTATAAATTTTGTTTATTTGTTTATGTATTTATTTGTTTGACGAAAAATTAAGCGAATTTATTTTTATTTTTTGAATAAATTGAATAATAAATGATAAAATTTTTTAAAAATTTAATCTTTAGTTTTAATAAGGAACAAAAATTAATTTGGAAAACATTGACAAGCATTTATAATGATTTTTGAGATTATATATTTCACAACAGTATGTATAGACTTCATGTCCGAATATTAAATGTACTTAGTAAATGCGCTTAGTACTTAGTAAATTACTTGGTAATTTTATTTTTCAATATTAACTATATTTATTTGGCAGTATAC